ACAATTAACCTTTGAACCACTGTGCCGGCATCCAACAGTTTTAATGTCTAACTTCAATCAATCCACGATATTGCACAACCATTTCCTATTGTCTTCTGTGGGTAATTGCCTCACACCTAATACAGTTGAACATCACTGGTTACGGTTTCTCACTAGAACTGCAAGAATATCTTCTCAAATTCAGTCACTAGCATGTACACAGTAATCGTCAGTAAACTGTTGATATGAGTTCATGACGACCTTCTATATTTAAATTGTAAAAATTTCCACCAATATCACCTCATAATTGTATGATTACTAGTGACAAGCTTCTAGGTGGATCCTTAGAAGTTCAAATGAGAAGCTGTAACCTGCATAGTTAACCATGTTGGAAATAAGAGTTACTCATTGACACCACCGAATTGACTGTAGTCAAAATTTAGATTATTTTTTTACTTAAATAAATCTCTTAATTGTATGTTACTCTCTGTATGAGTTATAGGTTATAAGTTAGGTCCTGTAGGGTGTTTCAACTTCATACTGATATTTAATTTTTAATTAGAACGAAATATATTCTTAGTGCTTCCCTATTTTTCATTTGGTCATTTAAAAGCATTATTTGCATTCAGTAAGTGATTTTGCAAAATATTTTTTTCAATTACCAATGTTGTATTTAAATTAGATTTTTTAAAACTGATACAAACAGTGACAGTACATAATTACTTGCTGTTTTTATATATTCATTAATAATTTATTGTCTATTATGTAGCTGATAGACATTTTTCCCTTATCTGAATATCTTTTTTTAAAAATTTTCTACAACAGTATTCAGTCAGTAAGTAAACAGTTCTATCTTTTAATATCGATCCTGTTAGATTTGGGAACTTCATTTTGTAGGTAAATTATACCCACACACAACTAGTCATCTGATTAGTTTTTACTTCAGAATTTTTACTAAATTGATTGTTACGCTACAACAATGTTTTATGATACGGAACGGAGATAATTCATCCCGATCAATGCGTTAAAAAAATTTGTAGACGAGTGTTTTTTTATCTGAGCTAATTATAGATAGTAACTAGAAATCGATATCCCTTTTTCAGACAACAAACATAAGTACTCACTAATTTTTTTTAAGAAAGTTGTCACTAATACTAGCAAGAAAATTGTACTACTTATTAACGTTTTTAAAAGGTAAGGATTTTAGTTTTCATCAAAGAAATTATACAATCTACTTTTATTGCAGTCTAATTTTAAAAAAGCTAGATTTATGGTTGGAATATATACATATGGAGAGAAAGAGTTTCTAGCCCTTTTTTTATACCGGTTGCATATCTCTCTCGCCATCATATTTCCCTTAGCTTTCCTCCAACTTTGATCAACCCCAGTCAACACTAAAGTATTTGAAGTAAGACGATTATTTATGGTTTATGAGATATAAATATGAAATTCGACATTAAATATCTGTACTTTTATTATCTAGACAGATATCACTCGTTGTTAGTGCTGTTTCGATTCGATGATTATGCTTTTTTACAAGTCATATTGACATGAATTTTAAAAATCACAACAGAAATTAGACTAAAAATACATGATTAATTATTTGTTCTAGACATGGGACATAATGTAAAATTATGAATTATCTGGATGTAATTAAGCTAAGTACACACAAGATATTGTAGTTTCTTTTTATTACTTTTGTTCAAAAAGTTAGGTATTTTAGTAATTTTGTCCACACACACACATGGACATTTATATTTTAAATAATGATGAATAAATGTCTTTGGAATGTCGTCAACTACCAAACATTTTGTCCAGTTGGCCGGTCAGAATGAGTGCATGATAGATAGACTAACAACGTAGATGTTATTCGGCTAACCAATAAAGTGAAAATGAATACTATTCAAATATAATTTGATCATAAGATGGTGTATTTACGTGATAAGGAGGAGATAAATTTTCTAATTGAAAGTACCATCATTCCTGTGATATCTGTCATTCAATTATTTTTCACGTTTAATGACTACAGCTAAAGATCTTCCATCGAACTTCTTATGATCCAGTTTACCGGACTGAAGTGACCAGACTTCAAATATCTATGAAAATTTTGGTGTGGTTTCTTGATATTCTTGTCATTCCCAGGTATTTTGGTGTTCAACGAGTTTTGACAAGAAAATCCAACAATCATATTGGCAGTGTTCATGTTGGTAATAACTCAAAATATGATTGATAATATCAATAGTCAATTGTAACTCAAAAATCGACCAAAATATACTGACAGTTCTGTTGCATGACTATTATTATGATCAATGATATCACCTCGAAAGTGTAAACTAATTCTTATCATGGGATAAAAATCCATTGTTATATTGTTAAAATTTGTAGATAATCACCCTATAGACCGCTCACAACAAAACTAGTAACTTAATAGTTTGATTAAACTTCAATCTTGAATGAATCAATCAACTGAACTCTACCTATTAGATTGTCAATAAAAGTATTAACCTAAAATATCGGATTTCAAAATGTCATGTAAACATAGTGAGAACTCTCATCAACTATTTATTTAGATCATTCTTGTATGAATAAATTAGTCAGATTATATTATTAATAATCAACTGTAAATATACGTTTTAGATTCACTAGTATGAATTTGAAGTTGTAATGAAGATTAGACTTTTTGTCTATTCTAATCAAGATCTTTTGATCATGAAACTAAACCGCCGCCTTCGTGACAGCCAACCGCTTGTTAAACATTATAACATGGTGTGACTTATGTCATCACGTGTGGGTAACTATGATCATCAGTTCAATTGTGAAACGTCCAAAGACTGAACAGATGAAGCATAAAGATTGTCAGAGAACCTTTAGGAACCTGACACTCCAGTAATATATCAGTCGATGGACACATTGAGTCAAACTTGCTTACGCCCGTTGCTCCTCATGGAGCGTAGGTAGCCCACCAGGATTCTCTCACAATCTCTGTCTTGGCCTCTCCTTTGCAGTTGTTTCCGATTGTTGTTCATTCATTTGATGTCTGATTTTTATTCTCGATGCAATGTGTTCCTTGGTCTTCTTTTTTCCCTTTTTCCTTCAGGATTCCAAGTTACAACTTGTCTCGCAATGTAGCATGATGATTTCTTCAACGTATGCCTCATCCATCTCCAGCATTTCTACCTAACTTCCTCTTCAGCTGGAAGTTCGTTTGCTCTCTGACACAGTACCCCTTCTAGGGTTTCTGACGGTCCAAATCCCGGATAAAGGAAGAGGGTTAGGCATGGGGTCAACATCATCCCGTAGATAACACCCTTGCTAAAAAAACAACAGTCGAACTTACTGATAAGCATGCTAATAAACTAACTGTATTTTCCATTAGATTAAGTATGACAAACGATATTTAATTATACTTTTTCGATTGTTTCTTTTTATATTTATTGATTGCCTAAATGTAACACTATTCTCCTTTCTTTGATGTGTTCAATGTTATGCAAAATCATAGAAATAACCTAATTGTGTGAAGAATAATATTTTTTCTGTGAAATATCCACTCCTTCGTTTTAATTTATTATTCCGATTATATAGGGGGCCTTTTTTAAAGTGTTATTGATTATTTTAATAGTTGAGATCATGAGTCGATTAAAGCTAGAGCACCATGGAAAACTTTGAACTACTGAACGGCCGTTTCGTCCTATTGTAGGACTTCTCAGCAGCGCCCATCCACGATTCCGCCTCGCGAGATTCGGACCAAGGATCTACCAGTCTCGCGCGCGAGCGCTTAATCTCTAGACCACTGAGCCGACATCCAATGGTGTTTATGTCTAGCTTCAACCAATCCCCGGAATTGAGCAACCGTCCACCATTGTTTTCGCACGAGAATGACAGGTCTTGGGTTCGAATCTCGCGAGATCGGATCGTGGGCGCGCACTGCTGAGGAGTCCCACAACAGGACAAAACAGCCATCCAGTGCCTCCAGGTTTTCCATGGTGGTCTAGCTTCAATTGACTCATTCAACCATGAAATTTACCTTAGATTAGAATATAGTATTTCGCATCTTATTAATTTACGTCCTACATCTGTCTGGGCATTTCTTCAGAGATTTCTAACAGAAATGAGAATTCCCAAAACAGAGATTAAATCCTAAAATTTTGTAGAGACTAATAACACCTGCATCCATAAACTAAGAAATATGACCATCAGCTAGAAATTCTGTTTTCTAACAATTACCTGACACCACTAAACTTTCCGCTGCATGTTTGTTAGATTCATAGGTCTCTGCTTCTCTCTAGTAGTTTGTACATTGTTACGACTTCAACACCGAAATTTTATTGAAGCAAACTTACCAATCTTCATAAGACAACTGTACCCAACGGTTAACATCTTCAACTAGTTGTACATACACTACATGACTTTCACAACAACCATATTCCTTCAAATTTTCATTACTTTACTCTGAGTTCTAAGATACTTACAAAGCAATTACTTTCCTATCTTATGTTAGCAGTTACAACCAATAACGAGAAATAACTTCAAGATTAGCTACAAACCCAACCTTACTGAGACAGAAATGCAACATACTCAATCCTGATTTATATAAACCCTATAGTTGACCACATGTTGAATACGAAGTGTAGTCGACTGTGATATGTATTTTTCTCATTGAAGTATATTCATTCACTGCAGCTATCGACATGTAGTTTTCCAACGCACATTCTTCAATAATTGAGGCTGAAACCCAAGCAGATACTCGTATCGCGTTATCTAGCTCCTGAGAATCACTTCACATAATCCCAAAGGATGTTACCGAGATAAATTATACATATTCCTACCACAACTTTGCAACAGGTCGTTAAAATTACGACATAAACTCTCCCATCAGTATGGTAAAGAAAAACTAGAATCTAGTTTAATATTTCAATTGATTTTTAGCTGGCTCATTTAGACGTTAGACAACTGGTCGATACAACAAAGACAGTAAAAAAAACGACAAGTTTGGGATTTCATGTATAAGTTATACAAATCAATCATCCAGATTTAAAAGCAAGAATTGCGACCTGTCCAAGGTATAAGTAGATAAAATGTTTGGTTTCATGGGTCACGTAACTGAAAAGGAAGTAAAAACATTGAATCCAACTAACAAAAGTCTTCAGACGTTTCGAAGACTAAATAACTGGTTTACAGGTTATCTGATAGGTTAATTTTAGAAAAAAATAGCATATTACCTACTGACAACCTCAACTGGCCCATCATTTTTAAACTTTGATAGTCTAACTAATAACGGTTTTTACAGAACCCGTTAAATAAAGTACTAACCAACTGAACGGAAAAATGCTATTGAAACCGGTCTAACACTAGTTTCGTATTACTTTAACTGTCAACCAATCCTATTCTAGAGAAAACATAGAGAATGGATTAATCCTGTTTAATAACAATGTTTCAAGGTTGAGACAAGGGTAAAACTAAAACATGACCTCTCTTTTAGGTCAAACTATTGATTAAGTGGGGAGATGACCGAACAGTAAATGTTCGCTTTTTATTTTAGACGGAATATATTCGTTTCATCATTAGAAACACGACAAATCTAAAGACTAAATAGGATGCAACTACCATATTATGCACTATCAGAAAGTATTAGGGGATATGGTGAGACACAATAAACTTGAATTGATTAGTGGTTAATTAAAGGCTAAAAGAATAATACATCATAACACCAAAGCGAATAACTGGTAGGGTCATTTATCTACAAAAATGTATAGTCTATCAGTAGAAACAAAATTGACAACATCAATGAATTAAGAAAGATTACAAAGTGAAGCTAGAGATGCTTCAAACGAGTTCAAAAAGGAATGACTGGTAGTGCATTGTAGCGGTAAACAAATCTCCAACACAAATAGCTCTGTAATTCTTTGACATTTGATGCTGACTGCACTAGTTTTAATAGACTCGCCTAGTTGAAGGCTCTCCGTCACGCACCCGCACCAGATCACGAGTGGGTACGCCGTGTTTCACATCTCCTACAACCGCTTGTCAGCTTAGACTGATCACTTCTCGATATATCGATAGTCTATCAAACATATATTCGAACCTCTTCTCGTTTGACTTATGATTTGACTGGGTTGGCACGTTTCGATTATGGAAGATGTTACTGGTTAAGGTGTTGTCAAACTCCAAATACTTGTGGCATCTTCAGCATCCTTTGTTTGGCTTTATTTCTATTCATGCAGCTTTCGTCCATTTCCGCAAAGCTAATGCTTTAGCGTAATCTTAAGGAACGAGATAATTGAACGAAAAGTTTCTAACAGAACTTTCGAAAACTAACTAGACATCGTTTTGTAAGTCCTAGAATCAATAACCATTAAGAGTAAGGCCCAAACAAGTTTTCAAATATTATGCACCATCAAATGACAAATAATCAGGGTTCTAAAGCATTTTATAAGTCCATTAATTCCAAAATATTTTTTCCTGAGTATACTGAGCTAGTCATTATTGAATGACGATGGTACGTTTAATCCCAAATGGGTTCGGACTAGCTACTTAAGGTTTCCTAACCTATCTTAAACCACACCCGCATAAAAACTTTATACAGAACAAGAAACAAACTAAGCAATAAAACGATTAAAAACTCAACATCAGTTACCTGCCAAAATTTCTGCCAACTATACAATGCCAGGTTGGATTGTATCTCTTGTCGCATTCTTTTTTAATGAAAGCAGCAATATCCTTCTCAATGTTATATGTTTCCAAAGCTTCAGCACAAATTTTCACTACTTCAGCTTGCATTTCTTCCGACATATCAGCATTCTTAATCACAGCTTTTTTCTCTGTCATTTTAACCGAGACAAACTAGATTATTGTCAACCAAGTAACGAATTTATGCATGAAAAGTTATGACTAGAAATCATTCCATTAAACGTTTATATATTTATTCACATAAATGTATTAATTAATTAACCAATCAGATATGAGTTAGGCAAATGGTCACAGTAGCTTAGATTCACACCATGCCTAATCGTGTTGTCGATTGAACTAGAACCACAATAATCTAGCATTGCCCTTTGATTGGCTTACTAGGTCAGTTTTTTTCAAAAATATTGTTGCGCCTACGTCTATGCTCAAGACAGGTTTTATACAGTCGATTCGATTAAAAGTATGGACAAAGGTAGACACTGATACTACTACAAATTAATTCTTCCATTCTTCGTCAGCGAAATTGATCCATGTTGTCAATGCTTACTCTAAAAGTAATTAAACAGTTGTTTTTTTAAACAAATGTTATTCATTGTTAACATCTCACCAACGTTATTATGCTGATTATAAGCAAGGCTATGATATTTTTCCTATCGATAACATCTTAGTCCACGAGGATAAGATTTAAACATATAAAACACTGTCTTTAGCACACTTTAAAAGTGGCTTTCAAGATATTGTTTTACAAGAAACATTCGTTATATGTGCAGGTGTACTAACTCTTCCTTTAGATTATAAGCTTCTAAATTCCCCATAACTTTTTTTCTATTGCTTCACTAATTTGTATTTTCTCGAATTGTTTCGTGGTTGCCGAATCTTTTCGATTACCATTAATACTGTTATTATCTCTATTACTCTTGAACTTGCCCTGACAATTATATCTCATTGTTCTAATGAGACATGGCAATTTGAACAGATTTACATATGTTCCATGTTCTACGTTGGGTTTGGCTGACTGATCGAGTAATTAGTTAATCGTTACACTGCAAACAGCCTGATTCAAGATGAGAAAGTACTTAGGGTGTAGATTTAACTATTTGAAGGAGAAAAACTGACGAACCCCATATCAAACATTCTGTGGTCAAATACTTTATTTTCTCAACAAATCATTTGAAATAAGTGTGGCTTATGTAATGTTCTAATGACACTTAATCATAATGTATCAACGAACCATAGATAAAATAGTGTAAGACTTTCGGAGAACGTTTCTAGAATGTCTTATACCTACATTTTGCTTTGATTAATACTTGCCAAATGGGTTTATTTAAATTCTTATTGGAGGCCGGAGCGTGCTTTACTCAATCGTTCAATCGGAACCATCACTACTGAACCATTGAGTCCTTAGTTGAAACATAGGATTGGATTGATTGCAGTTATCTGCTACTGTGTAGTGTAATCACTGTAATTTTTTTTCGTTCTTAATACTAACTGTATCATATAGATCATATTTTCATTTGAACAACTTAGCTAAGAAGTTCTAGAAGAACTGCAACAAATCACCCTTCTAAATGCTCTAGTGTGTACACATGAAAAGGGTATACGAAGAAAAAATTTATCAAAAACAATCACATCTTGACACATAACAGAGATGTTTATCAATGAAATGTGTTAACCACTACATTTATCAGTGTATGAATAAAGTCTTTATCAAGTTGATAGAATTAAACAGTACGTAACAGAAATGGGGAAAAGGCTGTAGATTGCCAACGTAGATGATCTATATCGAATGGTTGGGGGTCTAATCTAGTTAGACGGGAATAGTGTGACCAACAGCTAACTTCAAAGTCACACCTAACGTGGATTACCTCTCCGTCGTATTAAGGTACTATGGATGTTTTGAAGACTGTACAATACAAAGGGCGTTATTACAGAAATATGTTAGTTAGAGTAGGTAGAAGCGAAAGTTTGACCACCACCGCATCGGCCAGTTCATGACATAAGAATGACTGATGCGCTTCGGTTGCCCTTGACCTTGACGGGGATCGATAGACTGTTGGATATTCAGTGACTCAACTGCACGATGATTTAGCGAGGACTCAGTGACATTTCACTGACCCTACAAGGCATATCACAAAGTTTTGTCTTAACGTATGATGTGAACAGAAAAACAAATAAGCCGTGACGAACAAAGGAAGCTAATTTGGAGGAATGTTATTTTCAATTCAAAGCTTGTAAAACATTAATATTTAGTTTTGTCCCTAGTTTATTCTATAAACCATAAGCTTTCGTTTGGTGCATGATTCACTGCCATACCCTTTTCTGTTCCAAATCTATTGTAATTTAGACGACATCCTTAGTACTCTATTTTCCTACCCTATTATACAGTTCGGACATAATTGTATTTTTCTAATTGTTTGTACGTTGTGGTCGCATTAGTCATCTATTTACGTATATATTTTCTTACACTAATCTGAATCGAGAATAAATTGAGTAATGTTCCAGTTCACTCGTCATCTATTTCTCTCTCGCCCGACAAACCAATCAGGTTGTAAAATAGTTTTCGTCTCTCTGCTCAAGGTCGTTAGTCTCTATTCGGATCCACACATTTCTAGCCTCAAGGTTAAATCAGCTGGCCTATCGTGTCGAGGCAGAAATCTAGGTCGACACAAGTTCTCTCCTGTATATTATTGGGTAACAGCATCCATTCTCAACTGTACACAAAGTTGAATAAAAGACCTTCAGAAATTGTGTTGAGGAAAAAAGTAGGAGATTCAATCTAAATCCAGCAATCCATATGAGTAATATCAGTTACTACACGATATTGTCCCAGTGTATTGTTGATATTGAGCTTAGAACATTTCATATCGAGTATAGACTGAAGTTGAAAATTTAAAGCCATAGCTTGAGTGGCAGTATTTTAGACATATCATCTTTGCTATGACACCTGATGATAAAGTTTCCATTCTCGTGTGGAGTCACGGATTCAAACTATTGAAGAGAGCCAAACTAGGGTGAAACAACCGTCCATTGCTTTCTGATGTTCACTGTTTTACCTATTGTATTAAACTCATTATGAAAATTATCTTCAGATATATAACAATGCTACACAACAAGATAAAATTCTCCTACTATGCATTTTATTCACACGGTTTTCTTTATTCTCATTTTAGCTATTTTACTATTATACTGATTGGGACTTGACACTTTACTCCAAACCATTCTGACCTTTATTAAATGACCTTTCTGATTAACAAATAACACAATTTTGAAGTATACATTTCGTAATAGATGCAAACGTTTACCATTTTCAACATATAACAATGTCAAATGTATTAATACTTGACTTATTTTGGCCTTTGTAAAATATCATAATAATTATGGACTTATAACTGTAGAACCTGATGATGAAGTTATTGAAAACAATTGTTCGCTTAAATATTCCTCAAAATCGTAAGCAAAGATGTATAGTGGCTAGCAGTGGAATCCACGACGCGCGTTTCATTCTATTTGGGACTCGTCAGCTGGATGTACCTTCATCTCAGAGTTGATGTTCACTTTGAGACTCGAACCCAGCACCTTTCGATTCAAACGCCACCGCGTTATCCACTCGGCCACTGAGTCCTGAAAGCCACTTGCTTGTGCAACGGGGTCAAGTTGAAATTCACTTGGTATTGTTTGTTTGACTCTTCCCATTGATGTTTTTAGGACTGCAACTGGTCAATCTCTAATTGGCATATGTGCATACTGTGCGTATTGCCTCGATATAGTCTTAATTCACAAGCATGGTAAGCAGAATTTAGGCTATATCGAGGCAATACGCACAGTATGCACATATGCCAATTAGAGACTGACCAGTTGCAGTCCTAAAAACATCAATAGGAAGATTCAAACAAACACTAATAAGTGAATTCTTCAAAATTATTAATTGAATAGTGAATAATTTTTACACCATTTTACTGATTCAACTTGGAATCTGCATTTTTATTATGAAACATTCATTTATCGCTTTTTAAACCTAAAATATTAAATCAAGCGAAAGTATTCTTATTAAAACAAGCATTTATACGAATCTACTCTATCCAGTCGATTAGTCCATATAATATCGTATTTTCGATTATTTTTTTCGAAACAATCTTAAAGAATCCATCAACATTATATGGTAGACATAATCTCTACAATTTTGAAAATATTTCATAATACCGTACAATTTTATCAGGTATCATATACTACACATCATTATTTACAATCCTTAACGAACATAACTTTTTCTAAAGGTGTCTAATGTGGATAAAATGTAGTAATTTACTGTAAACTTATGTTTCAGAACACACTTTGTGACTAGATGAGGAATAATTGTGTGAGATAATAGAGACCTATTCAACTGAATTGGGTGTTTAACCAAGCAGATAATTTTATGATTGAACTTTCGTCAAACCTAAATACCTAAGGAAAACTTTAGTGTGTAGGTCAGTATTAAGATATCTAGTTTTCCAAAAATATTTAAGTTTTGATGCATAAAATGAAGTCAGTGGGTGTTACATATACAGTTATTATTTGGTAGCTTCACATGAGTATTATATAGGTAAAACTGAGTCGCTGTTGATGAATATCAGTGGAATTATGGTGCATGAGGATAATCCTGTAGAAAGAGAAAATCAATTATATTTAGTTAATGAGAGTGAGCGCCGTTGTAATTTTCCGTTTCTGACGCGTTCCAAATAGGGTAAAGTGCTTGAACTGGATCTTGCTATTAACCATGTACTTACTTATGCCTGTTACCCCACGTCGTGGAGGAGCATAGGCCACCAACCAACATTCTTCATCTAACTCTGTCCTGCACAATACTTTCCAGTTGCTATAAATCCTATTGTTATATCTTGTGGCCGAGTGGATGACTAGTTAATGTATGACGTGATGAGACCGCCAATCAGGAAGCAGCGAATTATCGACTGGAACAGTGACACACGAAAGCGTACGATCAGTCTAGAGCGCTAACCGGTTCTGCGATCTGCCTAGCCCAACCAGTTAAGTCTAAAACACCAATAACAGCCTCTGTGGTATGAATCATTATTCACAAACATAATGGGTTTATATACCAACCAAACAGAGCACGTCGTGCCATAAAATAGAAAATAACACTT